ATAATTATATATTTCATTCCTATTTAAAACCAAACCAATTATCAAATATAGTTCCTCCATTCAAATTTTGATTAATATGTTTAAACTAATCATCAAATTCTAAAATGCCTAAATTTATTTTATAACCTAGGGTTCTTAAAATATGGAATCCAGAGTGTGTCACAGAAGGAAGAAATAGAATTGATCTTGGCATCCTCCTGCACGACTTTCTTCTATGGACTTAAATCACCCACCTCATATATCTAATAAAATAAAAACGACTATGTAAAAACATAGGTACTTCCTTGGCAAAACAAAACAAGAATTCTTGCCAAAGAAAGCAAGAACTCTTGCCAAGGAAATGCCAAAAGGTTTGTTTTCTTTTTTAACCAACCCCTTCTACACAACCTCAGTCCTTTAGGGAGCAGCGCTTGATTGTCTGTTTCTCATTTTCAGCCCTTTATGTTAGCCAGCTGGTCTCCAGAAGGTGTTCCATTACTGAGAATTGTCCACTAAGCCGCCAAAGAGGAATACTCAGTAACGGAAGCTTACTGCTTCTTCAATTCTACTTTTCTTTGTTTTACAATTAATAAACAGGGGTATGCATCAAATACACAACACTGTAATCACATCTGCAACAACATGACACTGATCTAATCAATCTAGTGAAAAATAAAAAAATCCAGAGGCTAAATACAGACACAGGATGAATTCATTAATAAATACAGACACAGGATGAATTCATTAATAAATGATGCTTTAGCAATCAGAGACTCAAAAACAACTGCCACTAACCTCTAGAAATACCGCCGTGATTAATGGGTTAAGGACATCCGCCTTTTCTTTAACCTAGAACAAAGATTAGATGTAAGTGACCAGAGCAGGTTAAAAGACCATTAAGTAGACCCAAAAAGTAGTAAGCAAGCACTATTTCATTTTGAAACACACACAGCCATATATAAGTATAAGCATTTGAGACATAATGACATCTCTGAAGATGAAGTTGTAAGTGCTTTAAATTTTCTTTATACTTTCTATGTTACCTCAACTAATATTATTGCTTTTTCATTTTTAATTGACTTTTATGAGGGAAAAGGTAGACAATGAGATTAAACTAATAGAAATGAGAGTCTAGAAATAAAATGATACAACTGTGGTCATCTGATTTTCAACAAAAGGGCTAAGATAATTTAATAGAGAAAGAACGTCTTTTCAACAAATAGTGCTGGGACAGTGAGAGAGCCCTAGGGGGAAAAAAGAGCTGGATCTCTCTTCACACCTTATATAAAATTAAATAAAAATGGACTGTAGACACAGATGTAGCAGGTAAAATTAAAACCTCTTAAAAGACCCTCAACAAGATGCAAAGTGAAAGCAACAATGGGCATAAGAGAGATCAGGAGGATGGCACAGACAGAATACGGTTTAGATCTGTTCATAGGGTTGCTATGACTCATAGCCTACTCAACAGCACCTAACAACAAGAGGTAAACACAGAAATAAATCTGCATGAGGGAGCTCTGCTGGTCCAGTTCAGAGGAAGATGCATTACTAAACCAAAGGCGGTTCAAATCTACCAGCAGCTCTGGGGGTGAAAGATGTGTAATCTCCCCTGTGTAACTTAGAGCCTCTTGAAAATCTGCTGGAGGGTCAGCTATGAGTTGGTTCTGACTGGATGGTGATGAGTTTTTGAGAAAGATTCATGATCAAGTATTAAATAATGATTTCTTAGATATAACACCAAAAACATAAGTGACAAAAATAGTTAGGCTTGTTTAAAAAGAGTGGATAGATAAGGAACACTGCAATGAAACAGATGAAGAAAAGACTGTCTGAAAGAATACATGATTAGGCAAATAACAATCTGGAA